CGCGGAGCAAAGGTAAGTGAATTGACACAATATGGGGAATGAATTACTATATGGGGGGGGATGAATTACTATATGGGGGATGAATTACTATATGGGGGATGAATTACTATGGGGGATGAAATTACTATATGGGGGGGGGATGAATTACTATGGGGGATGAATTACTATGGGGGAGGAATTACTATAGGGGGGATGAATTACTATATGGGGGGGATGAATTACTATATGGGGGATGAATTACTATATGGGGGATGAATTACTATGGGGGATGAATTACTATATGGGGGATGAATTACTATGGGGGATGAATTACTATAGGGGGGATGAATTACTATGGGGGATGAATTACTATATGGGGGATGAATTACTATGGGGGATGAATTACTATATGGGGGATGAATTACTATGGGGGATGAATTACTATATGGGGGATTAATTACTATGGGGGATGAATTACTATATGGGGGATGAATTACTATGGGGGATGAATTACTATATGGGGGATGAATTACTATATGGGGGATGTATTTTCAGTTTTAAAAATGTGGCTCTCAAAATAAATTTCAATCGTGGTTTTAGCGAGATTTGGCTCAGTTGAAAAAAAAGGTTGCCCACCACTGGCCTAGGCAATCGCAGTGGGAGCTGGTATCTGTCAATTTTGGGTACCCACTCCCCAAAGGTGCCAATCCTTAATGGGGAGCTGGGGACCAGTCTTTAAAGTGGAACTTCCCCTTTTGGGTGGAGCTCTGCTTTAACCACTTGCATACCAGGCACTTTTACCCCCTTCGTGCCCAGGCCAATTTTCAGCTTTATGCACTGTCGCACTTTGAATGACAATTGCGCAGTCATGCAACATTGTACCCATATGAAATGTTTATAATTTTTTTCACACAAATAAAGCTTTCTTTTGGTGGTATTTAATCGCCACTGGTGTTTTTATTTTTTGCACTATAAACAAAAAAAGAGCAAAAAAGTAAAAAAAAACGTTTTTTCTTTGTTTCTATTATAACATCTTGCAAACAGGTAATTTGTCTCCTTCACTGATGTGCGTTGATGAGGCTGCACTGATAGACTGATGGGCACTGATAGGCAGCATGAGAGGTGGCACGGATAGGCTGTACTGATGAGGTGGCACTGGTGGGCATTGATGAGGAGGCACTGATGATGTTGCACTGATATGCAGCAATGATGGTCACTGATAGGCGGCACTGATGGGCGACACTGATGTTCAGTGCTGACTGACAGCACTGACTGGTGTAACTGCTGGGCGGCACCAATGGGCAGCACAGATGGGGGCATCGATGGGTGGCACTGCTGGGCACTGGTGGGAGGCACTGCTGGGCACTGGTGGGTGGCACTGCTGGGTGGCCCTGCTTGGCAGCACTGCAGGGCACTGATCATCAGTGCCGATCTGCTCTGTGACAGCTGCTGGTTATCGGCACTACTTTCCTCACGTTGTGACAGCATGAGGGAAAGTACAGTCAATAACCAGCAACTGTATTTACTCCGTGATCTGCTGTGTCATTGGACACAGCTGATCACGTGGTAAAAGGCTGCTGTGATTGACCTTTTACCTCATCGGCTGGGGGGTGTGCGGGAGGGCGCATTCAGAGAGGACATCATATGACGCCCTCACAGAAATGGACAACCGCTCTGTAGCCTTCATTCGGCTATAGCGCGGTTAGCAAGTGGTTAATCAGAGCTGAATTGTCAAGTACTGTGACAGGGGAGGTCCTGGAAGCAGGGCAGAAAGACTGGAACCTATCACACATGCTCTGTGTACAATTATGACATTTTCTGGGCGTGTCTAACATGTCGAGAGTCTGCAACTGGTTAAGGGTCAGGGCTCATTCACATGGGTTGAGATGCATACATCGTGCAGTTTTGTGCGCATCTACTGTAAATGCAGAAATATAGTAATCAAGCTGTAATTACATGCAAAAATGTAACCACCTCCTGCCATCAGTATGTTTTCCTAGGCACATGCATACTGGCGCACCCCCTGGGGAGCACAGTAGATGATAGTGTTAGGTATCTGGCCGCTGTGAGCAGCCAGGTTATCATGTGAATGCTATGTCCAATCTTAGCAATCACATGATAACATGTAAGCAAAACTGTTATGAATGACTTCCATTTATGATAGCTTGCTTACTATTGTGATGGTGTGATTTGCCCACAACTATCACATGGCATCTGGGCCAATTACAGCACCATGTACCATGTGGTTAGCTGTAGTCAATCACAGCATCACAATAGAAGCAAGGTGCCATGAATGAAAACCAACCATGACAATTATATTAATGTTTTGACTACACTTTAATAACCACTTGCCTACCAGGCCAATTCTGACACTATCCTACTAGTGAAAAATTAGCATTTTTTTGTTGCTAGAAAATCACTTAGAACCCCCAAATATTAAATATATATGCAGGCCACATCAGCATTATGGTTGCCCTCAAAAGGCCATTTGTATCTGTAAGACTATGTCTAGAGAACCCCCCCTCCCTCCTTTCATCAGAAGTCAAGAGCCCATCCCCACCATCAGAAGTCAACAGTTTCCCACCCTCCCTCACATCACAGTGCATCCCCATTACCTTGTGCTTTGGCTGCAGACAGGCGTGTACACATGGTGCGACAAAACATTCCCTCTGACACGTTCAGCAGGCAGTACCACCCAACAAATATAATTCAAAAAACCTCCTGCGCTCACATGGACTCCTACCCTAAAACCATAAGCTGCTGACACTAAACTTATACCCAAAATAAGTGAATAAACAATACAATAAAATAAAAAGTGCAGCGCTAATTAATAATCAAAATAAATATCTGATGAATGCGTGCTATAATATAAACTCAATACATCCCTCCAAAAAAATCCAAAATACTCAATACATATAAAGTGTCATGCATGTATTCCCTCATGGGGAATAACTGGTGCAAAAAGTGACAAATATATCATATATAATAATAATAAAAGTGGCAACACACATATAGTGCACAAAAAAGATGAACAAAAACTCAAATACGAGAAAAGTCCAAAATTAGTAGTAATACTGATGATGCAATGTTTAATGATGAACTTCACACTCCACTCTTCATGCAAAAGTAATGTGCAGTGTGCGTGATTCACACGTGACAATCCTTAACGGCCAAAATGCCCCCTCACCTCCTTCCTTAGACCCCAAGGGGCCAGCGCGCTTTCAGGATCACACGATCCTACCAGTATGGATCCCTCTCTAGGTAACGCCTTCCACCTCCAGCATCCACCAGTTTTAGCAGCCAGCTCCTCCCAGGGTCATAGTGAGACACAAGCAGAGACCCTCCATAGTGCAACCAGTTTTTTTATTCGGTAATAGGTATATAAAATAGATTTCCACTCACAAAAAGACGAATATGCCAGCCTCCTACCACATGCTATGGGTGTACTGCATGGGTAATACACAGGGTGATCCAATATGGCCCCCATGCCGGAAATGACGTCACCGCGTTTGCCAGAAGCTCCTCCCCACGTTAGATGCGTGGGTAGGAGCTTCCGGCAAACGCGGTGACGCCATTTCCGGCGTGGGGGCCATATTGGATCACCCTGTGTATTACCCATGCAGTACACCCATAGCATGTGGTAGGAGGCTGGAATATTTGTCTTTATGTGAGTGGAAATCTATTTTATATACCTATTACCGAATAAAATTACTGGTTGCACTATGGAGGGTCTCTGCTTGTGTCTCACTATGACCCTGGGAGGAGCTGGCTGCTAAAACTGGTGGATGCTGGAGGTGGAAGGCGTTACCTAGAGAGGGATCCATACTGGTAGGATCGTGTGATCCTGAAAGCGCGCTGGCCCCTTGGGGTCTAAGGAAGGAGGTGAGGGGGCATTTTGGCCGTTAAGGATTGTCACGTGTGAATCACGCACACTGCACATTACTTTTGCATGAAGAGTGGAGTGTGAAGTTCATCATTAAACATTGCATCATCAGTATTACTACTAATTTTGGACTTTTCTCGTATTTGAGTTTTTGTTCATCTTTTTTGTGCACTATATGTGTGTTGCCACTTTATTATTATTATATATGATATATTTGTCACTTTTTGCACCAGTTATTCCCCATGAGGGAATACATGCATGACACTTTATATGTATTGAGTACTTTGGATTTTTTTGGAGGTATGTATTGAGTTTATATTACGCATTCATCAGATATTTATTTTGATTATTAATTAGCGCTGCACTTTTTATTTTATTGTATTGTTTAACCACCCAACAAATGCAACCCAGCCAACTACGGGGGCTGCACCACAACTGGCCCGTAAACACATATCATGCATGTGGTCGCACATGTGGTGGGAGTTTTTAGGGTTTAAAATGGCTGGTGAGGAGGCAACATGATGCTTGCAAGGGAAAAGTTTTTTATTTTTTAATTTTCCAGTTTACTACCGCTTTAATGCATTCCCTACATTAAGGTGAAAAATGTCCCAGTATTTGTATCGCCCCCTCACCTCCCTTTAAACTTACCTGAGTCCTATCTTGATCCAGCAATGTGCCTGTCTGCAGCGGCTCTTCTCCCTCTGCTTACAGAGGCAGCAGCAGGAGCCATTGGCTCCGGCTGCTGTCAATCAAATCCTGCGAGCAGAGAGCGAGTGGGGCTGAGCTGTGTGCATCAATTGATGCCCACAGCATAGCCCAGGATCAGACCGAGCCCACAGGTGTGCCACCATAGGAAGTGGTTTGCTATGATGGCGCACTGAGAAGAAGAGGAGTCTGAAGTGCCAGCAGGGGACCAAAGAAGAGGAGGTTCCGGGCCGCTCTGTGCAAAACCATTAAACACCGCAGCAAATACTTTTGTAAATGCATTAAGAGCAAAATAACATTTTATATTCATTATTCTGCCTACTCCTGAAGTTATATATTGTACTTAAGACGTTATAATGGATTTTTACATTTATCCTTGTTTATTTTAGACATACTAAGAAAATCCCTGACATCTAAAGGTTTGACTTCCACGATGGATAAGACCGTTGCCAGGTTAGTCAATACATCTGTAATGAGCCCTCACCTTGTAAAACAACTTATAACCTTGTAAAATATAGTATAGTATATGTCTCTTCTGCAATAAAGTCCTGCCTGCTCGCAGTTTTTTACAGCAGGTTTTAAATTCCACTTTAAAGTGGAACCTTAAAGCGGAGTTCCAGCCATTTTTGTGTTTATTAAAAGTCAGCAGCTATAAAAACTGTAGCTGCTGACTTTTAATAAACACACACTCACCTGTCCCAGAGTCCAGCGATGTGCTCACCCACATCGTCCATTCTCTCTTTCTTCTGTCCCCATCACCGGCATCACAACTGTGGACACCAGGCTGTGTCAGCTTGTGGCTTCACAGCGGGTGCCCACTGCACATGCGTGAGTCGCACTGTGCATTCTGATTGGTCCAGCAGTCTTCTGGGACCTGTGAAGGTTCCCAGGAGACTGCAGGAGGAAAGAGGGGGGCCGAACTTCCAGCTCACTTCGCCTCAGTGAACTCAGCCGGAAGTGGGAGCAGGTACCTGTCAAAACTATGTATCCGCTCCCTGCTCCCCCCAAAAGGTGCCAAATATGGCAGTGGAGGGGGGAGGAGGCAAACAAGCGGAGCTTTCACTTTTGAGTGGAACTCCACTTTAACTCATCCATTTCAAGCAGAACTAAAGTTTGAGATTCTTATCTCTTCTTCAATGGTCCGACACCCACAAATTCCCTTCATCTTACCTTTTTCTGAGCGTTAAGAGCGTCACTCCGGTGCACGTGAAGGAGTTCAATCATCCCAGCACACAGGCACTGTGTTGGATTGCAAACTAAGCTGCATGTGCGCAACTCAACCTACATTTTACAGAAGAATGCTAGCAGGCAAGTAGATTTATTTTATTGCAGAAGCAACATTGCATATCTCTTCTATGAAAAAGAACCTGCCTGCTCCCAGTTTTTTTTTAATTTTAGACTTTAGCTGCACTTTAAAATAACATGAAATATGAATAAAAAGCATATCCTGGCATGAAATATGAACAAATCATATCCCTCTATAGTGTGTACTTGTCTTAATCTAGAGCACTAAGTGTCATTTCTGTCCACTTCCTCGTTCCCCTGCTATCTGCATGAGTCCCTTCTGACAGGTTTTCCTAACACCAAAATATAAAAAGTTGACAGGGGAGGGAGCTTCAGCGCACAGCCTATGATTGACAGCCTCATTTCTGTTCCTGAGTGCTATGTGATAGGGTGTGTGTCCCTTCCCTCCAGTCAGCGCTCCTCTCCTCTGTAACTTCAGGTCTCCACCCTCTGCTTTCTGAAAGCCAAGAAAAGCTGTATACAATTATCTGCTTTGAATGGCTTTAGAGAAGAAAAAACTGCAGATAGACAGGTACAACTTATGTTGGAGGATTTATATCACCTGAGGCCATTCACTGGGTTTATGTAAGGGTTCACAGCCACTTTAACTGTTTCCCATGACAGTTGTAATCAAGGCATGCCTTGATTGATAACTCTCACATTTGCTTGTGCTCTCAACCAAACTGTCAAGCCATGAAATGGCTGGTGTCATAACTGATCAAATGTGCAGCACATTGGCACCTGTAGATACAGAGGCTAAGATGGCAGCTTCACTGGCTGTAAAGGATAGGAGGGTTTAGTTCCGCCTTAACTAACCAAGATTAAGTTAGAATCTGATTAGTTACTATGGCAGTTGCTCCAGTTTTGATGACTTCCCCTAAAATCTCAAAACTTCAGCTTGTTCAGTTAAGCGGTATTAAACTCAAAAACAAACATTCATTATAATGCAGCTTACCAATTCTTAGATGTGGTGGTTGCATTATTTTTTTATTTTTAGGCTTTCTTACCTATATTTTGACCTGGTGATCCAGCCAGTAAGTCTGTGTTGTTCAACAAAACAGCTGTCCTGCAGATGTAGCAGTTAGAGGAGTGAGACAAACCATTTAACACTGACAGAGGTGCTTACAATGATCAACTTTAATTTATTTGTGTAAAGCCTTTATTTTGTTAGCTCAACTCAATAACAGCATATGGTATTTATTTACTAAAACTGGAGAGTGCAAAATCAGGCTCACTTCTTCATAGAAACCAATCAGCTTCCAGGTTGTATTTCCAGGGCTTAATTGAACAAGCTGAGGTTAGAAGCTGATTGGTTTCTATGCAGTAGTGAGCCTGATTTTGCACCCTCAAGCTTTTAGCAGCAGCAGTAGAGTTTAGGGGCAGTTAAACGTCCCTCTGCTGAACGCAGAAGTGTATTCAGGAGAGGACTGCTTTGGTCAAAAAAATGCCAAATGCGGCAAAAACATGCCTAAGCGCTAACCTCGTTTAGCGTTTGGGTGTTTATTAATTTCAATGGCAAGTACTCTGGCCAATGAAATGAATAAACATCCAAGCGCTAAACACGGTACCACATTTACAAGCTTTTTTGCAGTGTTTCGTGTTTTTCTGCTGCCAGTAGAGTAAACATTCCAATGTACATGTAGCCTAATACGGGAGGTGTGTTACTGGCCAGAAACACCAGGTAAAAACAGAAAGCCTAAAAAAAAAGGAAACCAAATCAACCATCACATCTAATGACTGGTAAGCTGCAATATATTACATTCCACTTTAAGCTGTGAAAATTAAAGGTAGATACCATGCACAACTGCTGCAGATTCTGGAGTCTTAGGAAATTCCCCCTAGTACTTCTTGTGAAAAAAGCTTTATTTGGATACATTTGTTTGATTGATATTCATCACTTTGTGCAATTTTGTTTTTGCTGAATGCAAATGGCCAGGTGGTCCTTGATTAGAGATAAAACTCACATGACCCTGAGATCAATCAGACGTGCCAGCGGACGCGTTTCAAGGGAAAAGCTCTCTTCTTCAAAGCAAGAGGTGGGTTTGTCCCTTGAAACAAGTCAACTGGCAAGTCTGATTGATGTCAGGGTCATGTGAGTTTCATCTGCAATCAAGGACCACCTTGCCACTTGGGTTTATGTACATCACTGTTTTAGCCTATGGCTATTGTGAGTATTCACTTATGTGGCTTGAACTACGTAATAAAATGTTGGTAATGCACCGGGTCTCTGCGCCATCTTGTTTTGTTTATGTTGCTTTAAGATTCCTTGGTCTGCAGAGAGCGGCATTTGTGCAGCTTATCATTTCTGGATGGGGAGCCGACATTAGAATGGTCACCTCTCACAGCTGTGTGGGTTCTCAAACAACCCATAGCGCTACGGTGTCAAATGTGTCTACTTTGGTCTGTATTGAAAATTTCATGATCATTATCACCATTGTTCTTGCTATTACTCTTCCCAGAAATACAGAGACATTTTTACTGATTGAAGGTGAATACATAAAGAATCTCCAGAAACAGGTTTATCTCCTAGAAATGGAAACATCTTTCTTATATCCTTTACTCTACAACAAATATATTTGTGCAAAGACTTTTTACTTTTATTTTTGTTTAATTTTCTGTTTAACTAACTTAAAGCGTTTTGTTTATATAAACTCAATTTTATTATATTTGCGGCTGTGTCCTATTGTGCACAAAACACTGTAATTGCATCTTTTCTCCTGCCTGTCACCAGGTGGCGCTATTGTTATTGTATTTGTATTGTACCCAGGAGGCATCACTGGGGATGTGGGATCACAAGACTCCATGGCATCTACTGTAGTGGCCTGGAAACCTGCAATCCCTATTTCTCTGGAGAGCTAGCTTGGATAGTATAGTACAGGAAGAAGAGAGGCTTGTTATTTACCTTGTCACTGTATATTCTCACTATATATAGAAAGAAGTGGCTATAAAATGTGTAATGGAAGTATTTGTACGGATAGTATTCAGTGTTTGAACAGACAATATTAATATACTGTATAAAATGAATTGTGATTATTAACACTAACAGCAATATGCAGATCAGGATATGATCTAATGTCTATGGTGTTCCAGCAAACGTTGGGGGAAAAGCAATTGGAGAACTCTATGCACTAATTGTTGTTTTCCCTCTTAAGATGACCCCAAAAATGTTCACAGTGCTCCTACCCCTCTTCTCTTCAAGGGCTAAATACAAACGGTCATCTGATGTTACAATTGATGTTCCCTAAGACCCCCTTCACACGGGCATACCGTGTGTCCAGTTTTTTTTTATCCGTTTGTTGATGAATAACAAATAAACAGCAATTCATTTCTATGGGTAAACGGATGATCGTTCATTTACCTCTGCGTCCTTTTTCAGGTCTGTGTTTTGTTTAAAAGGACCTGAATGGAGCAAAACAGATGTAAACAGACGATGTCCATTTGTGCATCTGTTTTTACATTGGTTGCTAGGAGGTAGCACCCGCTGGCATCCTAGCAACCAGTGATCAATCCCTGCTGTCAGCGGGGGATTCCCCACTGACAGCACAGTGTAAACAAAAGAGCAAGCATTAAATTTTTTTTAAAAACACCATATGGGTCTCCCCGCCAATCCATACCTAGCGCTTCAGGTCTGGTATAGATTTTGGGGGCGACCTCACACAAAAACCCATACCAGAGCCTATCTGAGCATGCAGTGTTGAGTGTATCCCCCCCCCCCAAACCATACAAGGGCCTCTTCCTCACAACCCTGGCCTGGTGATTTTGGGGTGCAGGGGGTGATTAAGCCCCCTTTACCAAGCGCCCCTGCCATGTCAATGAGTATGCATACTCGTTCAACAAAAAACATTAGTATATAAAAACACAAAGACAATTTTGTGTTTTGACAAGTTCTTTATTTAAAATAAATAAATGTCCCCTGATGTACTTCATTTGTCAGTCATGATGAACAGCAGCGGCTGACCCGCCAACACCCAACTGCTTTGTTGCTTGGTTCCTGCCGACTGGCTCCCCTCTTCCCCCACCACCAAAATAAACTAAGGGGTGGAGTCATCCAGTGACATCATTGACCATGCAAGAACATGTCTATATTTGGTCAATGATGTCATGGGGGCAGGAGGGTCACCTGATGACATAATTGACCCCTCCCCTTATGACACCATTAACCAAGTATAGACAAGTCAATGATGTCACTGAATAACCCTGCCCCTTTGTTTATTTCAGTGGTGAGAAGAAACAGTGGTTTTTTTTTTTGTAATGTTGACTCTTTTTGTTCGCATCTTCCTGTCAATGGGGAATCCTCAGAACAAAAGTATACCGCTCAGGCAAACAATCCAGATCAATCCATGACAGGTGCAAACTCTGGCACGCCACCACAAATGATGCAATAGGAAGAAGGGTCAGCCGCACACCGGAGGATAGATGAATATAGTGTGTATTTATTGATCCATAGGACACACAAAACACCAGGACATGAATACAGGACTTGTTTATGCATTTCACACGATCTCCTGCTTAACCATAACCATATGATAATATGATTAAGCACAAGATCGTGTGAAGCACATTAACAGGTCCTGTATTCATGTCCTGGTGTTTTGTGTGTCCTATGGATCAAGAAATACACACTATATTCATCTATCCTCCGGTGTGCGGCTGACCCTTCTTCCTATTGCAATGGGGAATCCTTCACTGACAGCAGGGATAAGTCTTGGCTTTTAAGAACACCGGCAGGCAGATGTAAAAACTGATATGAACTGAATCTGCTTTTTCTATGCATAAACGTGGCTGAACAGAAGATGCCCCTGTGAAAGATGCCGTATGGTAGTGAAGCGTGAGAGCTCTTGATTCCAGACTGCCAAAAACATGATTTCTGACTGCCATCCTGCCAGTTCATGTAATTTGGTCGGGTCCTTATTGTTGCTGTCCTTGCACAGGTAGTGCAGTTGTGTTAGTGGAATAGTGTATCTTGATTATAGTTCACCCACTGTGGTTGCATGCGCCTAGAACCACTCAAGCAGAGTAGGGTGACAGTTTGCTGTCCTAATTGTGAGTTTTAGGTGTACTGACATAAATTATCATTTTTAGCCTATCCACCCCCCCAGCCTTGGTGTGTTTTATGTGGCTATGGCTGATCTTGTTACTTTGACAAGGTTTTTTAAGTCCGCAAACGTGCAAACTACAACGAAAAAAACCCGTAAGTGATCACAAAAAATGTGCAAGTGCGAACACCACACGAAAAAGTGCACTTAGGGGTGTGTTTTGTCCTACCCCCAGAAGGGTTGGACCGTTCACCCGATCCCCCGGGGCACGAAGCTCCTGACAGGGACAAGGTTCCCATTTGGTCCTCCTGGCCAAAAGGCCTTGGACCACCGTTCCTTATGCCCAGCCGAAGCCGGACATCCAGTACTAGGCAAGGGGGTTCTCCGAAGAGAAAACCCCCTAGGGATCAGGGGAGGAAGGAACCGTAGGGCCACACATCCTCCCCCTAGACTTCAGGTAAGGCCCGAGGACCCACACCCTCCATCCGTGAAAAACACACACATAAGTAAAGTAAAAAGTGACAAAACGTGGGAGTGCATAATCAATAAGGTAAAGATAAAGTAAAGAAAAAAATAAAAAAGTGGTACCGTGCCGAATTGTGCACAGACCAGGCCCTGAGGCCCGTAGCAAAAATTGCCCTGGACTTAGCCAAAAGACCTGGTCCTTAGGGCGCTGTGCAAAAAGAGGTGAAAAACAGTGGCCATGTGTCATCTTCACACCGTGGGGTCCCACACCCAAGTGTTACTAGTGACACCCTGAGAGCGTCTTCCCCAGGGGGCACTGAGTTTGCGGACTTTTTGCGTCCCCAGCCCCAGGCCAGACCAAGGTAGATCCGTCCAAATCAGGAGGTACTGGGTCTTTCCAGCTTTCCCAGAGGAATTATCCCAAGGTCCCAGAGCGTATCGTGGCGCCCCCTGGTTTCTGTCCCTCCGGTCCAGCCTTCCGGACCCCCATCATACCAGCGAGGGTTACTATACAACAACCATCCCCGCAAAGCTAGAATGGTCGGGAGCACCCCCACTGGACACTGATAAGAACAGATACTACACTTACTTTGACAAGGTTTAGTCAGTTTACAGGGTTAGGAAGGGGGTGGAACAAATCCATTGACAGGAGGTATGGAGTGTAAATCAAGCCATGTGCAGGCCCTGATGCAAGGCTTACAGCAACATTTTCGCTTCTATGGCCATCTTCCCTTGGATAAACGCTCTACATTTCCACACCTATAGGAGGAGCCCCTGTTCATAACAACATTTCCTAAAATTTTTATAAAATTGCTATACAAGACACTTTGTACAGCATAAATCTAATTTCTACTTGTGTAAATAGCTTACTGCTTTCCCAGAGGTCTGCGCTGAGATACAAGCAACATTTCTGGCATCCCTTGAATAGGAGATACCTTTTGATGAGATACTCTCTAGGGTTTATCTCCTTCTAAAAGATGCAGACACTGCAGGTTTTCTCAATACAACACAGGTAATTTATAATGAAGACAGGCCCTCCCTTTCAGAAATCAGTTTGGGAAAAGACAAGGTAAAACAAACAGCTATTTTTTCCTAACAGGCAAAAGGTATGAATTTGAATAATGTTTGGTAAACCTCTTGCTGTGTATACAGTATAGTTTATTTTAACATTGGGGCAATATAAGAGTTATACCTTAAACTTTTCTGGTTTGATTTCTTGACTTCTGGGCTTCAAGCTGTCACAAAGAGGTAAATCTGTGACTAACTAGTTAACTGTAATACTTGACTGGACTAGTTTATCCATACATGGCAACACATTAGGCCATGATGGAAAACAGTTTTTCTCAACTGGGGTTCTGTGGAACACTAGGGTTCCTCCAGAGGTTGCTAGAGATTTCTTGATTATTGAGCAATGGCAATTGACCTCCATCTTTATGGTGACTACATAGTCCTGGCATCAATGCCAGGAAAAAGTGGGTGTGGCCAAACTTTAACAGTGGGAGAGGCTTAAGGGACATGGTTAAATAAAACAAACCTGGGCTTCCTTGTACCTATGAAATATGCTTTGATTGCTGTGCTACAAGCCAAAGTCTCACAGACACATATAAACCCCAGCACAATCTTCTTTTACACATGGTTTTGCACACACTGAACCACTGAACAGACAGAAAGCTAACACTTTATCTACCTTAAAGAAAAACTTCAATAAAATTGTTAGGGACCAGAGGAAGTTCAGGAAGCCATAGGGCGGCAGAGTGGTAAGACTCCCGGGGTCAGTGGACTCCCCACCTAATTCTATTCTTTGCATGTTAAACCCTTAACTCCTAGGCTTAAAGACCTGTATCCTCAGTATCTCTCACTGGATTCTTTCCTAGATTCTCTGGCAGAAGCAATTATTGTGTTTGTGCCTAAACCTGGGAAAGATCCTCAGGAGTGTGCCTCCTTCTATTCTGATTTCCCTGATAAATGTGGACATGAAGATACTCACGTAAATCTTAGCTACCTGATTCTCTAAGGTTTTGGAAGATCTGATCCTGATCCTAGTGGAC